ATTTTTACACTGTTTGTTATAATTACAATGTTCAAATCTACCAGGGCTGCTGAAGTCGCAGTAATGAAAACAAAAATATGTGGTTTTATGAAACCGCGATGCAACTGAAACTATTCGGATTGTAGGCATTTAACTGTAAATTTTCGGAAAATTATTCGATTTAAGGTATTAAAATTAAAATCGCGTTCTTAATCTTATCTTAATGATTGGAAAATCAGAAGGATAATGGGAAATCAATAGTAGACTAGATATCCAACTATCAAATTTAATTTCAATCTACGTATGAGAGTACGGAATACATAATAAATACAATAATCCAGATGATAGACGCATGTTAAAAACTAAGAACAACATTTATTCAGATCATTAAATCATTTCGAACTTTAGTTATTCTATCAATAACTTCATCTTCGCTTTGAGTTTCACAGTCTATAAATGTAATTGTCATGCACTTGCACGAATGAGTGAGAATATAAATACTACACGGTTAGCTCATGCGAGTCATGGGCGGTACCATTTTGGCCTTGGCTGCTCTGCCGAGCGCCTTTCAGTTTCACTCCTACTCCGCGGCCGGCTATAATGCGACATACAAGAGATGGACGAAAAAATTTGAGGCTATTTAATAAAAGCTTCACTTTAAAAACGCCAAGAAGTAACGAGATACAGTGTACAGAGCAATCATTAAATAACAGACAGTAATAAATAAATAGTATCAAACATTATCACTGTGAAGCGTCTATGTCATACTACATGTATTCATGTGCAAGTAGGTAAAGGTTTGATGCTCGAAGCTGGCGGAAATTTTAAAATGGCATGGATGAGCAATGGCAAAGGTAGGAAGTTCTAGGTATAGCAATTACAATCTTCTTTCTTCAGTAACCCTATCAGGAGCGTAGATGAAATATTTAAAAGCAGGGATCAGTTGTACAAAATTAAATTAAAAAAAAATATTCGGTTGGTTTTCTTGTTGTATGTACGAGGGTGGATTGATAAGTTTCCGGCCTAACCAAGAGATGACGCCACTAGGCCTACCTTGAGGTGACATTCTATAGTACCATCCTTGGATAGCTTGTAGCTATAGTTTCAGCCCGATCTCCTTGCTAGTGTAGGTTTGACAGCANATTTACAGACACATGATATTTTGTAGGGAAGGAGCGAATATAAAGACAGGAGACGAAAAATTAAAAGAAGTGGTTGATTTTGGATATCTAGGAAGTCAGATAAGTCAGGACGGAAGGAGTAGTAGGGATATAAAGCAGAGGACAGCGCTGGGTCGCGAATGATTAATTTAGAAATTCGAAAAAGGTGGTTAAAGGTGTATGTTTGGAGTGCGGCGTTGTACGGGTGCGTAACATGGACAGTGGGAGCGGCGGAAAAGAAAAGGTTAGAAGCTTTTGAAAAGTGGTGTTATAGGCGAATGATGAGGATAACGAGGATATAAAAGGTTAGAATTAAATAAGTATTAGAAAGAATAGGAGAAGAGAGGACTCTATGGAAGTCAATAAGAAATAGGCGAGATAGGTTGGTAGGACACCTTCTTAGGCATAAAGGTCTAGTCAGAGACATATTAGAGCCAGAAACAGGAGTTAGGAGGGGTAGATTACTGTTCGCAAATAGTTAATGATGTAGGTTGTTCTAGTTTTAGGGAAATGCGAAGTTTAGCTCAGGATAGGAAAGAGTGGTGGTGCGTGTCCAACCCGTCTTAGGACTGACGACCTTATGATGATGATGATGAATATTTATTTTATTATCGTCCCATTTTTACGATATTAGCAAATAATGGGTTTTAACCAGCTGTGTACTGGTTCAGAATATGATTTGTCACTTCGTTGCCATCTTAAAACAAAACTTTTAACATTGGAAATACTTTAAAAGAATCTTGTAGGGAGATTTTGATGAGTAGTTCTGATTAATATTATTTCCAGTAGGTAGGTACCTACTCTTACTTTATTGTCAGTCGCGGTTGCGGAATTTATTTAAAAAAAAAAATTGTTAAGAAGGCGAACTCAATTCGTCAAATCCAATCTTTTAAATGTGGCAAGATGGCTCAGGGAACTTGTTTTAAGGAATGACACTCGGCGTTTCCAATACATGCTTCATTCAACTGAGCTTCGAAGTCCCAGCGGAATAGAGACAGAGACAGGGGTAAGGCCTTACGACGTTTCGTCGCAGTTTTTGTTTGAAAAAAGTTGACATGTCTACGTACTAAAAAGACAGTTCAGTGATTTGAACATGATAGAAATTATTTTGTCAACGTATGTCATTTTGTACGATTTATTTTTGTTAAACAAATACTTTTAGAATTAAACGTACCTATCCCTATTAAAATAGTACCCATTAATTAAGTTTTTAGAATCAATGGCAGTGGCGTAACTATAACATCTGAGGTCTGTGGCAAATTCATCGGATGGGGCTCTCCCTTAATATAAAAAGCTTTACATTGTACCTACTTTTGTTTTCCCAAGATCATCAGTTATGTTAGTCTCGTCGTAGTTCATTATATTAGAACTGGGAACATCCTTCATAGTTTCAGACAAATTATTAAAGAAATCTTGGACAGTTTCTTCAGCTCGGTTAAATTCTCGTTTCTTGTTAGAAATGAGTAAAACCACTCCACTCCGGGTATGTTATCCTTAAAACATTTTATTGTACGTCCTTGCTTATCAAAATATTTTTTAATCAGACCCCGTATATCATTTCGAGTCATGGGAAAACCCCGTTCTCTAAATATTGTAATTACTTCGGCGATCAGGTTTTCATCTGCATTGGAGAGGGCAGTTTGTCTTCATTGTTTTCCTGTATGTTTTCCCTTGATTTTATCACTGACTGTAGACGTTGGTATTTCATAGCATTCTGCTGCTTGTCTTATGCTCTTTTTTCTATTTTGTATGTCCAATAATACTTTTTCCAAATTTTCCTTTGAAAAATTCATAAATTCAACACCAATTTTCTTTTTATAAGTTCTCACCATTTTGTCCGGATTCACCCCACTTGTGGACAATTTTTTATTCAAGTGTATTTTACTAAAAAACAGGACGATAATTTTTTTGTTTGCAAATGTATTTTACCAAAAGGATAGGCAACATGTTACCAGAAGCAGAAATCTTATATATCTACTTAAATTTGCGCTATAGAAGTTTGTTTGCGAACATTTTAAGAATACGAAAAAAAAAGCAACTCTTAAAAAGCATCCCCGCATGCCGTAAATTGAAATATTCCCAGCAAACTACCACACCGAATCGCAATTTCGATATTTTTGAGACACAAAAAGATCGAAATCGCGATCCGCGTCTGGCAGTTTCGACAGAATACAGACCATTTCGAATTATTTTATTTCATTATGGTAACGTGCCTATCACGTTGAGGTTAGCTACGCGGGCATTCGTTTCAGCAAGTAGATATCCATACAAGTGCACCTTGTTGGAGCATACGTAATCCTAAAATGTAGCATCGTACTACAGATGGCGTTTACTGCGCCATTTGTGGTATTTTCTAAAACGCACTGTTAAGGCTGGAGGTAAAAGTTGGTCTGTGTTCTGTCGAAGCTGTCTGTGATGCGCTGATGAGATCCAAAAAGATCGAAATCGCGTTCCGCGTCTGGCAGTTTCGACAGAGGTCTGTATCCACTTCGAAAAATAAAAATTCATTCAGTCGAATCACATTGCAACTCATTTTCTTCTTTCCTTCTCTAACACTAACACATAATTCGTTTTATGACTTTTAATAATCACAAGAGAAGATGGAGAAACTATTTACCATAACAGGAACACGACAACCACAAAAAATAACAATAACGATTATAACAATGTACGCGTAAAGTTACTAAAAACTCGAAGAAAAGAACTGAAAGAACTCAGATGAACTAACTAATGAAATCGAAATTAAGGGTATTTATAGTTAAAGTTGTTGAAGATTGACAAGGAGAAGGGTAGTT